TGCTAAAGAGCTTTGACATGATCGTGAGGGAGGACATCACTAAAATGAAATGGTTAATGAATAACCTATTGGAACGACATTTGTAACATCTACACCTATATATTTTACACCGTTTTTCTGTATTGTTCTTTGTTTTGCTTAACTTTGTGACCTAGGAGTGACTTCCTCACAATTGTGGCTATTGTCACTCCTTTTTGTTCATTGTGCCCTTATATTGATGATTATGTATAGATGTTTGTTAAAAAAGTTAGTTGGTTGAGGTTTGATATCTGCCTTCAGCTTAGGGTTGGAGGTATAAAGCAGTTTTTTTGGGGCTGTTGTCCACCCTTGTAGTTACAACTTTTAGCCTTTTGGTGCGCTTATGAGGCTCTTCATATTTTCCTGTCAAAAAAAAAAAAAAAAAAACGATGGAAAAATGATTGTATTCACGTCTTCTTTATATTTCAACTTCTTATTGTTTAGCCTCGTGTGGTTAATTATGATTTTCTAACATGATTAATATGCACCTCTTTGGTACTGTATACTTTTGTACCCCATGTTACCCTATTTTCATTTCACCTAAGTCTGTGCAGCAGGTGCTTGACAACAACATTGTATTAATCCATGAGGTGTCACTTTTGGCATATAATGCAAAACCAATTGAGACCTGGACACTGCCACTGTGTATGCTATTATACCCTATGACCTATGTTACTCTCTTTTCATTTTACGTAAGTCTGCACAGCAGGTGCTTGACACCAACATTTTATTAACACTTGTGGTGTCACTTTTGGCATATAATGCAAAGCCCAATTGAGACCTGGACACTTAGCTGTATGTCTGTGTCAAACACTAGTCTCATTGATGTGTCCGAGGAACCTAGATTACACTTGTTTCATTTTTATCTTTGAGCTCTATCAGTTATTCTCAATTTGATCTAATTTGCAATACTTTACAGCCATGATCAAAGTGAAAAGATTTGCTAGGATGAACAAGATTATATACTTTGTCTGCACAGCAGATGCTTGACACCAACATTTTATTAACACTTGTGGTGTCACTTTTGGCATATAATGCAAAGCCCAATTGAGACCTGGACACTTAGCTGTATGTCTGTATCAAACACTAGTCTCATTGATGTGTCCGAGGAACCTAGATTACACTCGTTTCATTTTTATCTTTGAGCTCTATCAGTTATTCTCAATTTGATCTAATTTGCAATACTTTACAGCCATGATCAAAGTGAAAAGATTTGCTAGGATGAACAAGATTATATACATACATGAGCTTGCTCATAATGCTTATGACGGTTGAAAGCAATGTCTCTTAAATATTAAATTAATCTGCTTTTCAGATCCACTTTCTTGCAGGCCTTGAGCCAATTGCATCATGAGGTGCATGCAGGATAATTGGGTTGTAGAAAATCTTGATAGTTGTCTAAATATCTGGAACAAACTCTAGTATCTTTCTAGCAAACCTAATTTTCTTGCTGTAATCTGTTTTTTCAGGGAAGCCTACCAACTAAGATTTTACATGCCAAGATCTTCTTTCATCTGCACGTGAATGGCAGTGCAATTTCTGCTCTGTTGTTTTTGTGGCCTTGACATTGATTCTGTGATTCTGTTGTGCCCTTGTGGATATTGTTTCATTGTACATATAGCTCTGTGTGCCATAGGAGTAGTTTAATTTGCATGTGGGTGGCAGGGCAATTTCTGCTGTGCTGTTTTTGTGGCCTAGACACTGATTTTGTAATTCTGTTGTGCCCTTGTGGGTATTGTTTCATTGCACATATAGCTCTGTGTGTCATAGGAGTAGTTTCCTTGCTTTGTGTCATTTCTTTGATCGTCCAGTTTGCCATATATATATATTTTTTTTTATGCTAATAATTTTAATTCCTTAGAGTTATCTAAAATTCTAAATGGTGGTATGCTTTTCTGCTGTTACTGGAGGCTTTCAATTTAAATAGCAGTCCCTTAGTTTAAATGTACGAGTTGTCATTTTTTTTAAGGACTTCAAACTCATGCTCTAGTGTTCCTATTCATAAGTTGGTGAAAACTCCAATGGAACAATCTAATTGGGTATCTGAGTAACTTAACTTCTGAAAATGTTTCCTTTTCTTGAGTTCTCTGATCCATTTGCCAATAATCAATATCAGTGCTGTAACTAATCCTTATATTTAACCAGGCACCAGCCCAACCTTGATGTTCATTGATAAACAACTAGGGCTCTCTTAAAATCAATTTTAATAGGCAGGTGGGTGATAGTGGCATAAATTACTTAGAAATTGCCTATTGTTTCTGCTTGTTATTTATAATACCCTTTTTCTCCCGTCTATATTTTCTAGATACTCCATGGGCTTTCATAAATTGCTTCATTTCTAGTCTAGCATGATTTGGGGTAAGGCTTGGTACACCAGACTTCCATTTACCCACTCCAATGACGTGTCCCATGCTAGGCTCTCATCATTGTTGTGGTAGATGTTAGAGTGGTTCTTTGGATTCTGAATTTGTAAAGGATTTTATGCAAGGTTTTTTTTGGTGCCATGCAGCCATCAATATCTGTCCCTATGGCCCAGACAGGCCGACATCCTTCATTCTCGACTTTGCAAGTATAGCAGTTGATGCATTCATCTCTGTTACTATCCCGTCTGTTCCATTAAAGTCATAACATGATATTATGTTTCTTTAGTATAATACTTGTATTCATGTGCTTTTGTTTTGTTAGCATTCTTAAATTTAATAAACCGTCTGGTTTTGGTTGTTGATACCTATTAATATTTTTGTTCAGGGAATGTCCACTAGACTTGAAAGAGGCCATATCTAGTATTTGTTTTGCTGCACCAAGATGTGCAGATTTGCCAGAGTTGCTGCAAGTTCAGATGTCATTTGCAGCCAAATATGGGAAAGAATTCGTTGCAGCTGCTACAGAGCTTATGCCGGATTGTGGTGTTAACCGGCAGGTCTTATTTTTGTTATTGTTGTTGTGGTTTATACTTTATATGAATGAGGACTTGCTAGTTGCTACGTATGTACAAGAATCTTAACAGCTGTTTTAATCACGGTGCAGTTGGTAGAGCTATTGTCTGTCCGTGCTCCATCTGCGGAAAAGAAATTGAAGTTGCTGAAAGAAATTGCCGAAGAGCATGAATTAGAATGGGATCCATCTCCTTCAGAGTCTGAACTTTTCAAGTCCCATGAAGATTTACTGGTGAGTATTATACTCTGCAGACTTTTGAAATATTCTTTTGTGCTATTTGATTATAATAGATGCTTTTGTTCTTCACAGAATGGACCGAAACAGTTTGTCGGTGGCTCCAAAGTTCCACTTCCAAAAGAAAAACATGATGAAGTTATGCAATCTACTTCAGTTCAAGAAAGTGCTGCTGAGCCTTCTGGATCTGAAGAAAGTTTTGACGAATTAGAGTTTCCTGAAGTTCCCAAGGGATCACTGAGGCCAAGTGCCGATGCTGAAGTACTTGCTCCTCCTCCGCAAAGTGACCCGTTGAAACAGTCTAACATTGATACTGAGGACACTTTATGGTCTGCCAAGCATGAACCCCCCAAGTCTTCAGCCACTCCTGGGGAGACTAAACAATTTTTGCCTTTCATTTCACCCCCGTCCTCTTTGCCATCAGCATCACTTCCTGTTAAAGAAAGCAGTCCACCCCCACCACCTTCAATGGCTTCAAAAGCCAAAAGTGATGATTACTTAAATTTTCATGATGTATTAGCAGCTGCTAATGCTGCTGCTGATTCTGCTGAACGTGCTGCAGCAGCCGCTCGCTCAGCTGCTAGTCTTGCAGAGGCCAGAATTTCTGAATTTTCCAAGAGTAAGAGTGGCATCCAGTCCCCTGATAGTGATGTTGAGAATCCATTTCATGCTAGTAACGATAATCTGTCAGCTGCAACTGAAAAACTACAACTGGATGACAGAAATGCTTCAGGTGATGATGTTTCCAATCCTTGGGTCTCTAGTGAACACTTTGGAAATGACCAGAATTCAAATGTTTTAAAACATGCCACTAGTGATGAAGCTAGTCTGGAGTCTGATTCCTATCCACCTGGAGAGCATACTTTCAAACAAGAGGCCCCATACCCTCATCAACCTCAGAGAATACCATCAATGGATGACGATCCAGAATTCACGTATCCTAACCTGTTCTCTTCACATAGTTCTGGAGACAATTCTCAATCAAGGCATGGATCTTAAATAGAGGTGATGAAAATTACAGTGTTATGAGTGGCAACTACCTCTGGCATCTTAAGCCTGCTTAATTTTTTCATCTCCTCACACTTCCCTCATTTTTTAAAATTAGTCAGTTGTAAAGTTACGTGTGCTATCCCCAAGTAATGACTTATTGCTTTCATTAGTGCGATAGAATTCTGTTGCTTCTGATATGGCACGTTGAAGAGAAGTTTCTGTTACAGTTTTATAATCGTGTACAGTGTTTTATGCTATTTTTCTGTGGTTTAATTTTGATCTTAAGGAAATGTTCCATTTTTATTAAGTCTGAGAGTGGATTGTAACATCGTAGAAAGGATTCAGAAATCACCGGGATATGCAGAGGTCTTTTTTCAAATTGAACATTTGAACTTTAAATATAGAGGAGATGATAGGGGTACACTTCGTGTACAAACTACAAAGGATGTATACCATCTACAAATTATCCAATGACAGTATAAAATTGGTGAAATAGACCTTTGCGGTGCTAAGAATTTTGCTATAGTGCTAAGACTTAAACTACTAATAATGCAATCTTAGTACAATGTTAAATAAAACTAGAGAACATACTTTATGCAATATTTTAGAAAGTTGGTCTAAATATTTCGATCATTTTTCATTTATCGCTATTCAGAACATTAACACATAATATAATTTTATTGTTGATCGAGTAATTAGTTACTTTGTACTTCGTTTATTATAGTTAATCACGACTCCACAACATAAAATTATGGAATACAACGATTGCATTAGATATTTCGGCCAAATATAGCCGCACATCAAACCAATTGTCATACAAACTTAAACAACACCTTGTTCAATACACCATGTCGCAAACTCGCAACTCAACTTGAGCAAAATATGCAAACATTTTGCTGTTCTTGTTATCTCCCCCATACTTTCCCACCTCCATCTTGCTCTAAAAATGGCGGCACTCCCAATCTTCCATGGCAGAAGACCTCCTCTCTTATCCTCTGTAATCCAATTACCAATTTCACCGCCATTAAAGCTTCTTCTTCCACTTCAATCGACAGCTTAGATGAAGAAGATGGTGAAAGAGGAGAGGGAAAGACTGAAGCTGCTGCAAAAGCGTCAGGAACAAGCGCTAGAGGAAGAAGGCTCGTCAAATTGCGTGAAGAGAAGCACAGAAGAGAACATGACCGCCTCCATAATTACCCTTCTTGGGCTAAGTAATTTTCTACTTTTCTCTAAACACCTATGTTGTTCTATTGTTTGCTAATTTTCGTTACGAAGTTTGTATATTAGAAATTGAATAGTATAATGTGACATTGAAACAACTCGGGGCATTGTCCGGGTCACACACTAGTTGAAATTGTAATGGGGTTATTTGATTATGATGATGAGCAGGGTTTTAGAAGATGCGTGTAAGAATGATTTAGAGCTTAGAGCAGTACTTGGGGATAGTATTGGTAATCCTGAACTTATGCGCAAAAGGGTACTCTTCTTTTTCTCTGTTTCTAGCCCCCTTTTGTATTACTCCGTGCTTGCTACTAGCATTCAAGCTCGTGCGATGAACGATTTAATTGTAATGTTTTAAATGAATTTGGTGTTTTATTTTTGCTAATTTGATAATTGCTTATGCTAAATTGCTAATCGTATTACTTACTTGTGCAACTTCATGTTCTTGTAAATCGTTTGAGACATTTGAACTGCTAATTTCGACGAACTCTTATTTACAGAGTTGTAAATTGAATCAGATCAGGTTATTGCATGAGTAATCAGCAAGATAAATCAGATTAGAATGTCTAGAATAAATTGTCATCTATCATGGTTTATGATTATATTTTAATACACCCTTAATAGAATTAAGAAAATTGGGAAGAAACTAACACTACTTTTGTATAGGGACAATTTGTGTATCATATTGAATTCTGTATGATGAGAGGTTAGGACAATGTGATGAACTAATTTTGGGAAGAGGGAGTGTACATTAAAACTTGCCTGGTGTTGTTCATCACATTTGAGATGGGTTGGACTAATAAATAATTGATAACCAGATGTATGGGTTTTTTGAGCAACTTTTGTAGAAGAGTATTTGACAAAAAAAAAAAAAAAAAAAATAAATAAATAAAAAAAAAAAATGAAATTGTTGCTTAAAACAGTTTGTACTACTGTGAGGATATTTTTTTTTTTTTTTTTTTTTTTTTTTTTTTTTTTTTTTTTTTTTTTTGTAATCTTTAATGCTTTATCCCTGACAAATGAAGTCTAAAGTGATTATGTTATTGGAGTTCTTGTCCTAAGTTTGTTCCCTTTTGTGGAAGGAAATATCCTTAAATTGTAGAACAAGTTCCAGTTTCCTTAAATAAGAAACTTGTTGAATTCTTCCTCAACTTACAGAATCAAACCAATGTCTCAATTGTTGATAATCAAGAAGTAAAATTGGCTATTTGGCCCTTGGCATTAGTTAAAGCTTCTAACTGTTGGTCTGCTTGTTTTCCAATTTTGAAGGAACACTTAAGTAATGTATATCACAAAGACTTGTAGAATCAAAACATTTTACTTGGTTGTCTTATAAATTTTAAATGAAGTATGGATATTTTGAGATGTCTTGGACAACTTTATTTTGGTCATCAATTACTTTTGTATCATTATGTTAGTCTTTGCTGAATGCTGATATCTTGCTTCGGTCAAGGAAATTCTTTAATGCATTGTAAATTGTTAAAAAGGTTGAGGAAAGAGTTAGGAAGAAGGGGAGAGATATCAAAAAATCCAAGACAGGCTCTGTTCTTGCCTTCAAAGTCAGCTTTAGAGAGTAAGTTGAAAGCTTTGTTCCAGAACTATCTCCATATCTGTGTCTTTTGCTGTAGTTGATTTATACTTCGTTGATGCGTAATACTTTGTTCATCCTTTGCTCTAAACTTTTTTCTTTTTTGAGATGTCCCAAAACTTTTTTCTCCTGAAAAAAAAAGTTTGATTGCTACATGTAGGGGAGACATACATCATAAGTAGGAGAGAGATAGAGAGAATACAAATACTAGAAATGGAAATGTTGGAATTAATATAAAACTTCTAAGTTAGGGAAATGTAACAATTCATAGATAACGGAGGAAGTAGGTAACTTTGATTTTAGCTCTTGTTAATGAGGGCAATTTTGGAAACTTATGACTAATTATCATAACACGTGCTAATTGTGCTCATATTGATGTCTTTCTTAAGAAGATAAACTTTTTACTGGGGGTAAAAACCAGTAAAAAAAATTAGGACAGGGAAAGTAATCTGAAAAGGTTTTCTTTGACTCAAGCTTGAACTTGTGAGACAAGTATAAATGAGTTTTCTAAAAAAAAAGAGAGACTGTCGTAATACCTTCATACAACTACGTGTAGCAGACCCTCATAAAAAAGTGCCGTCCTTCTAAATAAGCAACATGGAGGCAGGGGGACAGTTCACTACCCAACTTATATCAAGTGACCACCGGGATGCTTCCACATTCTTGTAGAGGGTAAACAGACTTCGTTACACCCTAGTTAAAGAATCATTCTTGTTTATGAATTCTATTCAAGAAGAACCAACTAGCATCTGTAACTTACTTTTGTACAAGGCTTTTAGCTCAGTAGCTGTCATGTTTTTTGTAATCTATTGTCTTGTTGAAGATACTCTTGTCAGTGGGGAACTTGTAGCTTTTTTCAGTTTTTTATACACATAATGATATAAAGAATGTTATACATATACTTACATGTGCAAGCATTTGAATTGTAGGCTTGTATGCCTGATATCTATGTAACAACTATTTCTTTTTATATACTGAGTACAGTTGAGGGATTTATTTGTATGGTGAAAATTTTTCTGTTGCTGTTTTCCTCTATCCCTTTTCTCACTGTTCCTGAAACTTGGCAGCTTCAATCCTCTAGACTCGTACATCTGGGTGGAACTATTTGGTTCACCATCCGATCGAGATGTCGATCTGTTTGGAAGTGTAAGTGATTTTTTTTTGTCGCTTTTAAATCACTGGACCTTAACATTCGGCTATGTGGATCCATCTTCTCCCAGATCCTTCTCACATGCATTATATACTATTTGTTCTAGCTACAACTCATTAATGTTGTTAATATCTTAGGTTATTCAAGCTTGGTATGTAATGGGACGCTTAGGGGCTTTTAATTCCTCGAATTTACAGGTACCTTCCTTTCTATTTTTCCTTTGTTTGGAGAAGTGTGAGCGTTAGATTGCTGAAATCTTAAATCGTGTGTTTATTCAGCTTGTATAGTGTTGATAGTTACAATCAGATTTATTAATAAGCATGCTGATTGCATAGGAATTACTCTTCCAATCTGCAATTCAACTAGCTGCATTTATTGTTTCAGAACTATTTCATTTGCATCTCTGCTAAGCCAAAACTTGATATATTTTGCCAACAGGACTAGTCATTGGTCATGCTCTTTGATTCTATGAGCATGAAGTTGTATCTCCTCACTAATGTATCTGGCTTAATTAGCAATAGGTGTAGTACGCATCTTGCATCTTGCGGTCTTGCCCATTGAAAGTTTGTGGGAAAATGTTTATCCTTGTAATTGTAAGAAACTCTGGGGAGACATTGGTATGGAATACAAAACATTGGATAGACTCTTGCATACAAAAGACCAACATTGTCCTAGACCTTGGGCTTTTATTTTACAAAGTTGAAGTTATGATTTAAAGCAAGAATCTGTGGGCTCAGTATGGCAAACATCGTAACTATTTAAGAGCTTTGGCTAACATTGCACGATGATAAAAACCTTGCTTAATTGCCCTCCACTTAATATATTGTGTAAAATAGTTGAACAATCAAATTTAACCGTACTAGCCTTAAGGGCCTAACTCATACACATTTATAGTGGTATTCATTTATTCAATCTGCAGTGATAATTTTTTTTCGAACCAACTTGGACAGATCATACAATATAATTCTCTGTAGTAAGCCATGGGAGAAGAGATTGTAGAATGATTTGATTAAGCTTGGCACTGAGTATAACCTGAGAGATTGCGATGGTTTAGTTTTCACCATCTGTTTTCAATCTCTTAATTTACAATGCGCATACAACTGAACAAAATTTAAAATAGTGTGTGCTGAAGCTGCATGTTTCATCCTAAAATCCCAGATTTGCTGCTGAGCATGTTGTTCATTGCTACTTTGAATCCAAGATTCTCTATGCTCAGAAAAAGAATTTTTTTTTTCCCTTATGACACATCAATACTACTTCTTATCATACATCTGTTTAATTATTGACCCAGCACTAGAAAGGTGAACCCTGGTTGACAAAACCATAGGTCGTAGAGTGATACGAGTATACGACAAACTTGTTAAGGGAGGCAGTTTGTTTTCTCTGGCTGTAAGATTACTCTTGGAATATGAAGAGTGGTAAACTAAGGATTAATCTTTTTACTTCTTGAAACACATATAGGCTTGTCTTAGTGTGAAAGGATGTAGAAAAGGTTATTTTTGTGTCCCTTTTATTTTCATCAATCTTATCCCCTCCTGTCTGACTATCTAGACTCTAGGGAAAGGAACCAATCAAAGCATGAAAGCTTCCCATTCATCAGCTATATTAGATTATTATCTTTTCAATGATCTCAAAGCATTGATATTTGCTGTATTAAGAATTTAAAATTCATTGATGAGCTTAGTATTGATTAAAGATCTTTTGTGCACTTCTAGTTGGCGAGTACCTCAATGGAGTATGATCCCCTGTATGATGCTGACAAAGCTCTTAAAGTGATGCCTTCTTCATTCCATGATATTAGTGATGTTGAATTTCAGGATAATTGGGGACGATTTTGGTAAGAGTTGTAGGCTCTCTTGGCATACTTCTGCCTAAATCTCTGAAATAGCTTATGATGCTAATCATCTTCAATTTGTGATTTTAACAGGGTAGACCTTGGAACAGCTGATGCTTTTGCCATCGATGTTTTGCTGAATTGCTTGACTGTGTTAAGCTCAGAGTAAGATTTGTACTTAAGCTATCAGTAAATTTGTGACATAAATCTAGGCCATCATAGCTACTAATGATTTTGTTATATAAAGCTTTGACATCATTATGACATTATGTCCGTATTAAGTGAGCAATGTTGTATCTGGTGCAGGTATCTTGGTATCCAGCAGGTAGTTTTTGGTGGTCGTAAAATGGGTGATTGGGAAGAGGGGATGACTAGTTCTGAGTTTGGTTACAAGTACTTCAAAATATGAAGTGGAATCCGGAATCTACGCCGACGAGGGTATAATAATTATGCAGAGGTAAAGAAGATCACTGCTTCCACTCCCCTTCAATGACCGATAGAAAGGGAATTTATTGTTTAAAACTTCTAATTACATGTTGAAAATTTTGGTGCAAATGAACAAGTATGGGCTAAAACTACAATAAATATCGTTTAAAACTTCTAATTACATGTTGAAAAAAACAAAAAGAGTGGCATGTAAGATAAACCATGCTATCAACTTCATATATTAACAAACAAGATAAGAGTTGGGTTCTTGTTTGGATAATTTTCATTAAGCACCCACTTATTATGCTAATTGGACTACATATATCTATCCATCTCAAATTCTATTTGTGTAATCTGGCTGTAACATTGCTATTCTGGTATAGGCCTTTTCAACTATACACTGGTTGCATATAACTTGAATAATTTAGGCACTTGATTGCTTATGCCTAAATGCCTGTTACGAAAAATCAAGCTCTAGGACTAGGCTCTAGAAACCAGATAAGAGTACTTGTGGCACTTTGCTGTCAGCATTTTGTACTAGTCAGCTTTGTCTTTTGCACTAAATATTTTCCCAATCTTATTAAAACTATCCCCAGGTTCCTTACTAGTGGTGCAATCTGTGCAGAGCAGATAAGAAGACGGTAAAAATCTTCAATATCAGGAACACCTTATCATATCCTGGACTAAGGTTTCATCATCTTCATTATAAGGTGTGTTCAGAGCCTTGTTAGCTTTGATTGGCAAGAAATCAACTACAAACAACAGCTTTTATCATAGAGTGCTAAATCCAGAAGGCGCAGCATTGCTTGACAAGACTGTCTTGCTTTGGAAGCTGCTGCCAGTCAAATCTTCATTTTATGGACATAGAAGCAAGTGTACTCAAGCTATAGATGTGTTTGCATATTGCATCAAAAACAAATAGATGTGTTTGTCAAAGAAAGTCGAACCCATCCCCAGGTCCTCAGCTTCGCTCAAGACAATTTGATACTAGTTTCTTGCAATATGATAATATCTTCTCCCATTAAATAATTCAATGTGCCTCCCTATACTTCACCCTGTCTGCAGATAAATTTGTAACTAGATTTGATGCTAGGTCAGCTATTATGTTATTTAATGCATAATTAAAATATCAAAATTTTCTGTGTGTATAACCTAACACATTATATCAAAATAGCTTCTGAATCAGATTCGGAAATGTAAAAGCAAATAACAGGGCAATTTAGAGCATTCAATTGGAGAAGATACGACTTCATCAAACAAGACAACCAAACTCAGTGATAACCAGGTTCTAATCCCCCAGATGAACAAACCAATCTATGATATATTGTGATTTTCACTGCAATATTTTGCTACATCTTTTCCATCAGCAGCCCCTATTTCGTTATATTATATACTCGTAAAAGACTAAAACTCTTATATTGTTCATAAGCTGAGTCAGTTTGCTATTAAAAATTCAATTTCGAAACCAATTCATCCAGTTCTTTCAAAATTGAGAGCTTTACTTCTTGGCTGACCAATACCAAAGACCTACAATACAGAGTAATATGCACATAACGCGCAACCATTAACAGTAATGAGCTACATAAATCTGGGATACATAATCATACAAAAGGAGCATAAGTGGAAAAAACTCCATTGCACATATGGAGTATACAGAAATCAAAGGCAGTCTCAGACATTGTTCAGTTGTTTCTTGAAAAAGACGATATGGAACAAGCTACTCATGAAATGGACACACAGTTGAGTAAGACCTTATGAAAGCTGTTAAATAGTATTTTTATATAATCAAATTGACCAGCATGTAATGATTTAAACTTCTAAAATTCCCCCTAACTGTCATACAGCTATGGAACTGGAACCCAGGATGAAACATCAGTTTGTTTGTACTGAGCTAATACAATGGCAAAAAAAATCTAATCTAATGTTTGAATGTGAACATCAACCATCCTCTGCAAAAAACAAATAAAGTCAATAATAAAGACTCGAAAGGAGTGGTAAAAGCTGTAATAATGCAAGAGTATGCTCCACCAACTGGGTAATCACAAGTATCTTTTGTCGAGCACCATTATCTTATACAACTAACAAAAAACGGGGGTGGCGCAACAGCCTACCAGCAAAACTCAGCGCCTTCCTGAACCAGAAACATTCTGCATCTGTCGAAGTTGATCAAGAGTAACCAAAGACCATTCACCCTGGACTTGAGCATAGATTTTCTGATGCAAGGAATCCACAGTAATGCTTACACTACCAAAGCTATATACTTGGTGATGGTTGTGTAATCTCCCAGGTTTAGGCTTGAAGAGCAAGCCTAGCTGCTGAGCATAGGTCTCAATAACTTCTTTCAAGGTCTTAGGCACATCATCTGTTTGCTGAGCGGCTTTCATCTGAGCCTCAAATTGTCTTTGTTCTTGCACCCTCATATAGCTAATGTTCTCCTTCACACCAGGTTGAACCATCTCCAAACCTTCAGCAGCCTGGTTCATTAACTCCAGGCCTTGGTTTAGCTGCTTCCGAATCCGTTCATTGGCCAAAAGTTCATTAGGAAAAAGATCTTTCCATCCACTATACCATTTCAAAACCTCTTCAAAGTTTGGGCTTGTACAAAGCCAGTGGTACAGAACTTGCTTCCATTTGTTGAAGAAGTGCATCTCTAGTAAGCAAACCATATGATGAATGGGAACTGCAGAAGCCCAAGTCATGACCCAGTAAAACTGATCAAGTTTCTGATTAGCAGGATTGACTTGAAAATCCTTCATCACATCTATCAACTTGGGAAGGATGGACCGGGAAATTAGTTGTTCCCAACTTGAAGCATCAAATACCGTCTTCCAAGGTGATAAAATAGTATAGGCTGACATATCACTAGGATGCCATTTATGAAGAACTGTTCCTAATTTTATACGGATAGCTTGATAGAGAGACTCCAACTTCTGTCCAAGTAATGGAAGCCAGGGGTGCACCCACACATGGATCGGTATTGTTTCCCTACAAGGTTCCCAAGAATTCACAGCTTCAGATAACTTAGGCATCACAACCATATCAAGCAGTGACTGTAGCACAGAACTCGGAAGCAATTTCTCCCATAATTCCAGAAATCGGAGCATAGGCTCTGGATCTCTAGCCTGCCAAGTGTTTATTCCTGCTATTCGAACTGCCGGAAACACTACTTCAGCCACCAACTGTGAATACGGGGTTGATGCATCCTCAAAAATATCATAATTTTCATCTCCCTGCAACAAACCTTTCCACAGAGCTACAACATCCATGCCATGGGATGGGTTCTGAAGTGGATCCCATCCTTGAAACACTCTAATTAACAGAGGAAGAGCAAGTGAGCAAACAATGCAAGACAAATTACCGAGTTTATATTCTTCTGGAAACCTCCTCTGGAGGTCTCCAAAGGATTTTGCAAGGGACTCTAAAGTTAACCTCCCCAATGTGTTCTCCTCCTCAATACTATCTAGGACCTGCAATACCTCCGTCATAGAGTCAATCTGCTTCTTCTGCCGTGCAGCATCAATCTGGTGCAGTTCCTTCTCTTTCTGCAATGCAACAACAGTTTCTCTCTCATTCCTCAAATCCCTGTCCATCTTCTGGATGTTAAGCTCTGCCAAGTCTACTATCAATCTGATATTGTGCTGAAGCTCTGGCATGGGAATATCACTTTCCCTATCTTTCTCCTCAGCATTCAGATTTTCCAAATTTGTTAAAACCCGAACCTGGGGTCCCCTCATATCCACCACCTTCTGAAGTACCAACTCTGGTCCTCGTGCCTCCTCCTTCATAGCCAACAACTCATCTGCGGTGAGAATATTCTCTTTCTTCTTAACACGAGCTCGAGCTTGTTTCTTCCAGAGTTTGTCCTCTTTCTTCAAAGACACTTGCTTTTCCTCTAATTCAGGAGGTGGAGGTACATTATCCAAATTCGGCAAATTCTTGCTCTCCTTGTAGTCATCATACCCCATCCCCATACCCTTTGGCCTCAACTTTGCCTCAATAGGAGCAACAATACCTTGCGCATTCTTCCCCAACCCACCACCTTTATACCCCATCTTTTCTAGCAACTTCAGTCCGATTCCTTTCGTGTGCTTCTCAAACACCCCCACATTCCCCTCCACCCCATCCGAACCTCTCTTTGCCCCCGCCTTAGACTTACTCCCCTTACTAACCCCAACCAATTTCGACTTCTCACGCCGCTTTTCTGCCCCTTCCTTAATCTTCTTCCCAAACCCAGTCGGCAAGAACGACTCCTCATCATCCTCTACCCTCTCATCATCAACTTTCCTACCTCCCAACCCTTTCTCCCCTCGATTACTCGAACCGGCCCCAAACCCCAACCCAACTCCAACATTCCCCCCAGCACCCAATCCGAGCCCCGGTTTAAACCCATCTACACCCTCCTCCTCAACCTCCTCAGGATTCTCAACACCCTCCTTCTCATTAAGCTCTACCTCCTCACTAGGAGCAACAACCCCAGTAGATATAAAATTTACGGGTTTCGAATAATCAGCTTTCTTAATAATCCCCCCTTTTTTCCTCTTCTTCTTCCCAGAAAAAGAATCATCATCTTCTTCTGAAGAACTACCCTCAAATATACCATACAGTGATTGATCCTTAGATTGAACTGATTTTTCTTTGCGTTTTTTATAAAAAAATTCACCCCCTATATACTGTCCCCCCTCAAAATCATTATCCATCCCAAATTTCTCCATTTCTTGATAATCATCCATTTTTATTGAAATTTAACAATCTCAAAGAACGATTACAATAAAACTAAAAACCCTAAAAATTGAACCTTTAATTTGCTAATTAGGTAAAGGGGAGAAGAGGGTACCTTTGTTGGCGTTCACAATCTCTTTCTTACGCTGCTTAAACTAGCTTGGAGGAGAGAGAAAATCGACAATGGAGAAGAAAAGAGAGGGAGAATGGTGGTAATTTCAATTATATTTTTTCGTAAAAAAAGGAGTTTGTGAAAAAATTTAGTTGATGATAATTTCGTCAGCTGTGACCCTGTGAGTCGGTTTGTAAGACTTCACTATGGACTTAATGAGTTAATGGTACTCCCTCTCAATAATTTTGCGTCTCATATGTGCTCGTTTGTAAAATAACAAAGTAACTTTTATACTCCCTCCGATACATAATACTTTATGTCTCACAAATAATACCCTTTTGCTGCAAGTAATATGTAATGGAGGGAGTATTAATGATCTAATAATTTCGGTTTAGCTGAAAAATAATACTCATATTGCAATACGTAATGACAATTTTCTGCCTATTTTTTTAATTTATTCTACCACTTGACCACCGTTGGTTCGCCCCTACACACAACTCCACTCCACCATAATCACTACCACCAGCCACCACGGCGCCACCCTATAGAAATTGTCACCTTCTACACCAACCAAACCTTTCTTTTTCCTCATATGAATACTCTATCACCCCCACATGACGTCCTAAAATAGACAATTTATAAAAATAGTAGGGTTACAAAAATCTTTTTTTTTTTAAAAATAAAAATAAATAAAAAATAAATAAATAGGTATTACAAAAATCTTCTAATTTGTTTAAAACATAAACTGTATATTATTGTTGTTAATTCCTAATCATTCGTTAGTTACATTAATCATTGAATGCATAGTATAGTATAAATTGTAAATTTTTATTACAATTTTCAATAAACAAATATAATCTGTACAAAAAAATTTTGAAGGGCATCTGTATAAGTATTTCTAAATGAACATATAAGAATTAACAAAAGAACATAAATATTGTCTGCAGAGTATGTCTTCAAATATAGTAAGAACATACTTAGTGTTTAATTAATTCAATAATCATGAAACTATGCAAGTATAATTAAAAGATCATGAAAATTATCTACAGCTACAAAATTGGATTACACGATTCACTTATACAAAGGGTTACATTGCCATGGAGGCAGACTGATCCTATAGTATTTCAGGTACCCATCAAAATTATAAACCACAACAGGTAATTCTAAGGTAGTCTCATTCTTCTAGCTTGCTTCCTTCGGTATCATGATGATAACATACATCATGCAATTCCATCTCAGATTGAGTGCCAGTAGAATTATATGCATCTCCCACACCGAGGCTGGGTAATGCAGGTAGTTCAGAT